CATCTAGGCGAGTACCACCAAGACCCCCCCCCCCTGCCACGAACCAACAACCCCACTGCCACCACCAACAACCCCCCCTCTCCCACCACCAATAACCCCCATTACCACGAACCACACCATTACCAGTAACAACCCCCTCTACTACCACCACCACCAAGAACTACCACCATTACCACTACCCCCCCCCCCCCACTACTACTACCACCAACCACCACCACCACAAGAGAATCGAGCATCATCTCGACACGCGCGAGAGAGACTGAGAGCGCTGGCGCAGAGAAGGATGCTGGAGTGTGTGTGTGTGTGTGTGTGTGTGCTGGGTGCAGTTACCTTACCGCAGTGAGAGCTGGAGGAGAGCTGACCCCAGACTAGAGGGCTCGCTGCGCCCCGTGCGTGTGTGTGTGTGTGTATATGTGTATGTATATGTGGGGATGGGGGGGTCCGAGGCCACGATACATGGAGCCCTTATGTGTCTTGTTAAAAATTTTGGACTTAAACTTCGCAACCCAAGAATATTGACATCTCTGATTAGGGAAAGATGTATAGATTTCGTAACAGAACGCGAAGATGCTCGATAAACCCTGGGTGATAAACCATAAGCTGGCAAGTGAAAATTTCTGGATTGTCATGTTTTTTAATCGGGAAAAGTATGAAAAGTTCTTATTAACTGGAAAAAAAGTTAAGTTGTTCGTAGTTTATAACAAAATTTTCTCCATTTACAAAAACAAATTTTGTGTAATTTTAAAATTTTTATTTTTATTAAAACTATAGTTTTTATTACAAATGGTGAGATAATATATGTGGACAAGAGAATGGCGAGTTCTTAAATATATTTATTAAGTGAAGTTTTAACTTTTGATAGTGTGATCAGTCCGCTAGGTGGCGTGTTGGGTGTTTTAACGCACCGTGTACCATCTTCTCTATGGTACCACCATGTACCGTCTTCTCTATGGTACCACCATGTACCGTCTTCTCTACGGTACCACCATGTACCGTCTTCTCTATGGTACCACCATGTACCGTCTTCTCTATGGTACCACCATGTACCGTCTTCTCTACGGTACCACCATGTTGTGTCTTCTCTATGGTACCACCATGTACCGTCTTCTCTATGGTACCACCATGTACCGTCTTCTCTACGGTACCACCATGTTGTGTCTTCTCTATGGTACCACCATGTACCGTCTTCTCTATTGTACCACCATGTACCGTCTTCTCTATGGTACCACCATGTACCGTCTTCTCTACGGTACCACCATGTTGTGTCTTCTCTATGGTACCACCATGTACCGTCTTCTCTATGGTACCACCATGTACCGTCTTCTCTATGGTACCACCATGTACCGTCTTCTCTACGGTACCACCATGTACCGTCTTCTCTATGGTACCACCATGTACCGTCTTCTCTATGGTACCACCATGTACCGTCTTCTCTATGGTACCACCATGTACCGTCTTCTCTATGGTACCACCATGTACCGTCTTCTCTATGGTACCACCATGTACCGTCTTCTCTATGGTACCACAGTGTACCGTCTTCTCTATGGTACCACCATGTACCGTCTTCTCTATGGTACCACCATGTACCGTCTTCTCTACGGTACCACCATGTACCGTCTTCTCTATGGTACCACCATGTACCGTCTTCTCTATGGTACCACAGTGTACCGTCTTCTCTATGGTACCACCATGTACCGTCTTCTCTATGGTACCACAGTGTACCGTCTTCTCTATGGTACCACCATGTACCGTCTTCTCTATGGTACCACCATGTACCGTCTTCTCTACGGTACCACCATGTTGTGTCTTCTCTATGGTACCACCATGTACCGTCTTCTCTATGGTACCACCATGTACCGTCTTCTCTACGGTACCACCATGTTGTGTCTTCTCTATGGTACCACCATGTACCGTCTTCTCTATGGTACCACCATGTACCGTCTTCTCTACGGTACCACCATGTTGTGTCTTCTCTATGGTACCACCATGTACCGTCTTCTCTATGGTACCACCATGTACCGTCTTCTCTATGGTACCACAGTGTACCGTCTTCTCTATGGTACCACCATGTACCGTCTTCTCTATGGTACCACAGTGTACCGTCTTCTCTATGGTACCACCATGTACCGTCTTCTCTATGGTACCACAGTGTACCGTCTTCTCTATGGTACCACCATGTACCGTCTTCTCTATGGTACCACAGTGTACCGTCTTCTCTACGGTACCACCATGTTGTGTCTTCTCTACGGTACCACCATGTACCGTCTTCTCTATGGTACCACCATGTACCGTCTTCTCTATGGTACCACCATGTACCGTCTTCTCTACGGTACCACCATGTTGTGTCTTCTCTATGGTACCACCATGTACCGTCTTCTCTATGGTACCACCATGTACCGTCTTCTCTACGGTACCACCATGTACCGTCTTCTCTATGGTACCACCATGTACCGTCTTCTCTACGGTACCACCATGTTGTGTCTTCTCTATGGTACCACCATGTACCGTATTCTCTATGGTACCACCATGTACCGTCTTCTCTACGGTACCACCATGTACCGTCTTCTCTATGGTACCACCATGTACCGTCTTCTCTATGGTACCACCATGTACCGTCTTCTCTATGGTACCACCATGTACCGTCTTCTCTACGGTACCACCATGTACCGTCTTCTCTATGGTACCACCATGTACCGTCTTCTCTATGGTACCACCATGTACCGTCTTCTCTACGGTACCACCATGTACCGTCTTCTCTATGGTACCACCATGTACCGTCTTCTCTATGGTACCACCATGTACCGTCTTCTCTATGGTACCACCATGTACCTCTTCTCTATGGTACCACCATGTACCGTCTTCTCTACGGTACCACCATGTACCGTCTTCTCTACGGTACCGTCATGTACCGTCGAGCCGCAGTCCATAGGCCCCTAGTTTTGATTTACAACAGAGGCAGAAACAAATAGGCATAATTTCTTCCATCTGCTGTCTCTGTTCACCTAGCAGTAAATAGGTACCTGGGAGTTAGACAGCTGCTACGGGCTGCTTCCTGGGTGTGTGGATGTGTGTTAGAAATACATGTAGTAGATATAGAGAAAAATAGATTGGTTAGAAAGGCGGGGTCCAAGAGCTTATAGCTCGATTCTGCAGACACAAATAGTAAATATTTACACACACATACACTCAGAGTATTTAACAGGTGGAACGCATTAGGCAGTGATGTGGTGGAGGCTGACTCCATACACAGTTTCAAGTGTAGATATGATAGAGCCCAATAGGCTCAGGAACCTGTACACCTGTTGATTGACGATTGAGAGGCGGGACCAAAGAGCCAAAGCTCAACCCCTTGCAAGCTCAACTAGGCGTGTGATCTAAATTTAGTTTGATGTAAATTAGACGCAACGCTTAAAACAATAAATAGCAAATACACTTTAAACCATTAGCAAATTGCGCCCCTGGCGGGCGTTGAGTGAAGCACCACCCTCTTAATAAACCCCCCCCCAACCCCGTTCTGTCTATTCACAACTCCGTAAAAAAATGCAAATGTTTGCCTAACCAGAATTATTGTTTGTTTTAGATTCAACCTACTCTGAACAAAAAGTTTCAAGCAGCACGGGCTATGGTGATCCCGTCGTGGACTTAACTGGCACAGGAGATGTGCCTAACCAGAACCTTACAGTTCTAAGCCACTCCGCCCTAATCTTTCGCTGCCGATGCATAGAGAATCGTCAGTATTACGGTATTTTAATCTTTGTCAATATTTCGTAATTTTAACGGATTGGTAGATTTCGAAAACAATTATATTGTTTTGCCTAATGAGAAGCGTGCGAAGTAACCCACTTAACCTTTAGAGTACGATGCTTGGAAAACTGGCGCCAGATTCACGAAGCAGTTACGCAAGCGCTTACGAACCTGGGGCCAGATTCACGAGGCAGTTACGCAAGCACTTACGAACCTGGGGCCAGATTCACGAGGCAGTTACGCAAGCACTTACGAACCTGGGGCCAGATTCACGAGGCAGTTACGCAAGCACTTACGAACCTGGGGCCAGATTCACGAGGCAGTTACGCAAGCACTTACGAATCTGGGGCCAGATTCACGAGGCAGTTACGCAAGCACTTACGAACCTGGGGCCAGATTCACGAGGCAGTTACGCAAGCACTTATGAACCTGGGGCCAGATTCACGAAGCAGTTTCTTTCACCCTGATGCTCCTGTTACCTAGCAGTATATAGGTACCTGGGAGTTAGTCAGCTGTCATGGGCTGCTTCCTGCGGTGTGTGTGTGTGTGTGTGTGTGTGTGTGTGTGTGTGTGTGTGTGTGTGTGTGTGTTCGTGGTGTGGGGGAAAAAATAGTAGTAGTAGAGACAGTTGATTGACAGTTGAGAGGCGGGACCAAAGAGCCAAAGCTCAACCCCCGCAAGCACAATTAGGTGAGTACACATACAATCTTTATATCGCGTAATTTCCAAGTGATAACTCAAGGATATTACATGGGTTTGAAACTTGCAACACATGCATTTCGAGTTATAATTAAAGAAAGCTTTCTATAGAATGAGTGTAGACAATAGTTAAGCTTGTCAGTGGTCTTACTTGAATAAGTGTTAAATATTTTAAGATATACAAGCATGTGCGTGCTTGAATAGTGTTATATTGTGTTTAACTTGATATATTATGCGTGTGGTGGGAATGTGGGGTGCCGGGAGAGGGGAAGAGAGATAGGGAGGGAGAGGGGAAGAGAGATAGGGAGGGAGAGGAAGAGAGAGAGAGTGAGAGAGTGTATGAGCAAGAGGAGATAGAGAAAGAGGAAGATAGCTCTCTCTCTCTCTCCCCCTCCCCTTCTACCCCCTCACTCCTTCCCTTCCCTTCCCTTCCCTTCTCTCCCTGTCATTCGACAAGATATCCAATATTTCTAAGCGAGGTGTCAGGTACCCGGGGAACACACTTCTATTATTGCTATTGGTGTGACGAAGGTGTTCCCTGCCCCACCACTTCTCTCATGCACCAACTTGTAGCTGGTGCTTCAGCTGGTGCTTCAGCTGGGGCTTCAGTTGATGCTTCAGTTGGTGCTTCAGTTGGTGCTTCAGTTGGTGTTTCATTTGGTGCTTCAGCTGGTGCTGTAGCTGGTGCTGTAGCTGGTGCTTCAGCTGGTGCTGTAGCTGGTGCTGTAGCTGGTGCTTCAGCTGGTGCTGTATCTGGTGCTTCAGTTGGTGCTGTAGCTGGTGCTGTAGCTGGTGCTTCAGTTGGTGCTTCAGTTTGTGCTTCAGTTGGTGCTTCAGTTGATGCGTCAGCTGGTGCTTCAGTTGGTGCGTCAGCTGGTGCTTCAGTTGGTGCTTCAGTTGGTGCTGTAGCTGGTGCTTCAGTTGGTGTTTCATTTGGTGCTTCAGCTGGTGCTTCAGTTGGTGCTGTAGCTGGTGCTTCAGTTGGTGCTGTAGCTGGTGCTTCAGTTGATGTTTCATTTGGTGCTTCAGTTGGTGCTTCAGTTGGTACTGTAGCTGGTGCTTCAGTTGGTGCTGTAGCTGGTGCTTCAGTTGGTGTTTCATTTGGTGCTTCAGTTGGTGCTTCAGTTGGTGCTGTAGCTGGTGCTTCAGTTGGTGCTGTAGCTGGTCCTTCAGTTGGTGTTTCATTTGGTGCTTCAGTTGGTGCTGTAGCTGGTGCTTCAGTTGGTGCTGTAGCTGGTGCTTCAGTTGGTGCTGTAGCTGGTGCTTCAGGTGGTGCTGTAACTAGTGCTTCAGCTGGTGCTTCAATTGGTGCTTCAGTTGATGTTTCAGTTGGTGCTTCAGTTGGTGCTTCAGTTGATGCTGTAGCTGGTGCTTCAGCTGGTGCTTCAGTTGGTGCTTCAGCTGGTGCTTCAGTTAGTGTTTCAGCTGGTGCTTAAGCTGGTGCTGTAGCTGGTGTTTCAGTTGGTGCTTCAGCTGGTGCTTCAGCTGGTGCTTCAGTTGGTGTTTCAGCTGGTGCTTCAGTTGGTGCTTCAGTTGGTGCTGTAGCTGGTGTTTCAGTTGGTGCTTCAGCTGGTGCTTCAGTCGGTGATCCGGTTGGTGCTTCAGTTGGGGCTTCAGTTGGTGCTGTAGCTGGTGCTTCAGCTGGTGCTGTAGCTGGTGTTTCAGTTGGTGCTTCAGCTGGTGCTTCAGCTGGTGCTTCAGTTGGTGTTTCAGCTGGTGCTTCAGTTGGTGCTTCAGTTGGTGCTGTAGCTGGTGTTTCAGTTGGTGCTTCAGCTGATGCTTCAGTTGGTGCTGTAGCTGGTGCTTCAGTTTGTGTTTCATTTGGTGCTTCAGTTGGTGCTTCAGTTGGTACTGTAGCTGGTGCTTCAGTTGGTGCTGTAGCTGGTGCTTCAGTTGGTGTTTCATTTGGTGCTTCAGTTGGTGCTTCAGTTGGTGCTGTAGCTGGTGCTTCAGTTGGTGCTGTAGCTGGTGCTTCAGTTGGTGTTTCATTTGGTGCTTCAGTTGGTGCTTCAGTTGGTGCTGTAGCTGGTGCTTCAGTTGGTGCTGTAGCTGGTGCTTCAGTTGGTGCTGTAGCTGGTGCTTCAGGTGGTGCTGTAACTAGTGTTTCAGCTGGTGCTTCAATTGGTGCTTCAGTTGATGCTTCAGTTGGTGCTTCAGTTGATGCTGTAGCTGGTGCTTCAGCTGGTGCTTCAGTTGGTGCTTCAGTTGGTGCTTCAGCTGGTGCTTCAGTTAGTGTTTCAGCTGGTGCTTAAGCTGGTGCTTATATTGGTGCTTCAGCTGGTGCTGTAGCTGGTGTTTCAGTTGGTGCTTCAGCTGGTGCTTCAGCTGGTGCTTCAGTTGGTGTTTCAGCTGGTGCTTCAGTTGGTGCTTCAGTTGGTGCTTCAGTTGGTGCTGTAGCTGGTGTTTCAGTTGGTGCTTCAGCTGGTGCTTCAGTCGGTGATCCGGTTGGTGCTTCAGTTGGGGCTTCAGTTGGTGCTGTAGCTGGTGCTTCAGCTGGTGCTGTAGCTGGTGTTTCAGTTGGTGCTTCAGCTGGTGCTTCAGCTGGTGCTTCAGTTGGTGTTTCAGCTGGTGCTTCAGTTGGTGCTTCAGTTGGTGCTTCAGTTGGTGCTGTAGCTGGTGTTTCAGTTGGTGCTTCAGCTGGTGCTTCAGCAGGTACTTCAGTCGGTGCTTCAGCTGGTGCTTCAGTTGGTGTTTCAGCTGGTGCTTCAGTTGGTGCTGTAGCTAGTGCTTCAATTCGGGCTCCAGTTGGTGCTGTAGCTGGTGCTTCAGTTGGTGCAGTAGCTGGTGCTTCAGTTGGTGCTGTAGCTGGTGCTTCAGTTCGGGCTTCAGTTGGTGCTTCAGCTGGTGCTACAACTTAGGTGTTGTCTGCCCATCCCCCTCACCACACCAACAGTCTGCCCATCCCCCTCACCACACCAACAGTCTGCCCATCCCCCTCACCACACCAACAGTCTGACCATCCCCCTCACCACACCAACAGTCTGCCCATCCCCCTCACCACACCAACAGTCTGCCCATCCCCCTCACCACCACCACCACCAACAGTCTGCCCATCCCCCTCACCACCACCAACAGTCTGCCCATCCCCCTCACCACACAAACAGTCTGCCCATCCCCCTCACCACCACCAACTGTCTGCCCATCCCCCTCACCACACCAACAGTCTGCCAATCCCCCTCACCACCACCAACAGTCTGCCCATCCCCCTCACCACACCAACAGTCTGCCCATCCCCCTCACCACCACCACCAACAGTCTGCCCATCCCCCTCACCACCACCACCAACAGTCTGCCCATCCCCCTCACCACCACCACCAACAGTCTGCCCATCCCCCTCACCACCACCAACAGTCTGCCCATCCCCCTCACCACACCAACAGTCTGCCCATCCCCCTCACCACCACCACCAACAATCTGCCCATCCCCCTCACCACCACCACCAACAATCTGCCCATCCCCCTCACCACCACCACCACCAACAGTCTGCCCATCTCCCTCACCACCACCACCACCACCACCAACAGTCTGCCCATCCCCCTCACCACCACCAACAGTCTGCCCATCCCTCTCACCACACCAACAGTCTGACCATCCCCCTCACCACCACCACCACCACCAACAGTCTGCGCATCCCCCTCACCACCACCACCACCAACAATCTGACCATCCCCCTCACCACCACCACCACCAACAGTCTGCCCATCCCCCTCACCACCACCAACAGTCTGCCAACCCCCTCACCACACCAACAGTCTGCCCATCCCCCTCACCACACCAACAGTCTGCCCATCCCCCTCACCACCACCAACAGTCTGCCCAACCCCCTCACCACACCAACAGTCTGCCCATCCCCCTCACCACACCAACAGTCTGCCCATCCCCCTCACCACCACCAACAGTCTGCCCATCCCCCTCACCACCACCAACAGTCTGCCCATCCCTCTCACCACACCAACAGTCTGACCATCCCCCTCACCACCACCACCACCAACAGTCTGCCCATCCCCCTCACCACCACCACCACCAACAGTCTGACCATCCCCCTCACCACCACCAACAGTCTGCCCATCCCCCTCACCACCACCACCACTAACAGTCTGACCATCCCCCTCACCACCACCAACAGTCTGCCCATCCCCCTCACCACCACCACCAACAGTCTGACCATCCCCCTCACCACCACCACCACCAACAGTCTGCCCATCCCCCTCACCACCACCACCACCAACAGTCTGACCATCCCCCTCACCACCACCAACAGTCTGCCCATCCCCCTCACCACCACCACCACTAACAGTCTGACCATCCCCCTCACCACCACCAACAGTCTGCCCATCCCCCTCACCACCACCACCAACAGTCTGCCCATCCCCCTCACCACCACCACCACCAGTCTGCCCATCCCCCTCACCACCACCACCAACAGTCTGCCCATCCCCCTCCCCACCACCAACAGTCTGCCCATCCCCCTCACCACCACCAACAGTCTGCCCATCCCTCTCACCACACCAACAGTCTGCCCATCCCTCTCACCACCACCACCACCAACAGTCTGCCCATCCCCCTCACCACCACCACCACCAACAGTCTGCCCATCCCCCTCACCACCACCACCAACAGTCTGACCATCCCCCTCACCACCACCACCAACAGTCTGCCCATCCCCCTCACCACCACCAACAGTCTGCCCATCCCCCTCACCACCAGCAACAGTCTGCCCATCTCCCTCACTACCACCAACAGTCTGCCCATCCCCCTCACCACCACCAACAGTCTGCCCATCCCCCTCACCACCACCAACAGTCTGCCCATCCCCCTCACCACCACCAACAGTCTGCCCATCCCCCTCACCACACCAACAGTCTGCCCATCCCCCTCACCACCACCAACAGTCTGCCCATCCCCCTCACCACCACCAACAGTCTGCCCATCCCCCTCACCACCACCAACAGTCTGCCCATCCCCCTCACCACACCAACAGTCTGCCCATCCCCCTCACCACCACCACCACCAACAGTCTGCCCATCCCCCTCACCACCACCACCACCAACAGTCTGACCATCTCCCTCACCACCACCACCAACAGTCTGCCCATCCCCCTCACCACCACCAACAGTCTGCCCATCCCTCTCACCACACCAACAGTCTGACCATCCCCCTCACCACCACCACCACCACCAACAGTCTGCCCATCCCCCTCACCACCACCACCACCAACAATCTGACCATCCCCCTCACCACCACCACCACCAACAGTCTGCCCATCCCCCTCACCACCACCAACAGTCTGCCCAACCCCCTCACCACACCAACAGTCTGCCCATCCCCCTCACCACACCAACAGTCTGCCCATCCCCCTCACCACCACCAACAGTCTGCCCATCCCTCTCACCACACCAACAGTCTGACCATCCCCCTCACCACCACCACCACCAACAGTCTGCCCATCCCCCTCACCACCACCACCACCAACAGTCTGACCATCCCCCTCACCACCACCAACAGTCTGCCCATCCCCCTCACCACCAGCAACAGTCTGCCCATCCCCCTCACTACCACCAACAGTCTGCCCATCCCCCTCACCACCACCAACAGTCTGCCCATCCCCCTCACCACCACCACAGTCTGTCCATCCCCCTCACCACACCAACAGTCTGCCCATCCCCCTCCCCCTCTGCCCATCCCCCTCACCACCACCAACAGTCTGCCCATCCCCCTCACCACCACCAACAGTCTGCCCATCCCCCTCACCACCACCAACAGTCTGCCCATCCCCCTCACCACCACCAACAGTCTGCCCATCCCCCTCACCACCACCAACAGTCTGCCCATCCCCCTCACCACCACCAACAGTCTGCCCATCCCTCTCACCACACCAACAGTCTGCCCATCCCCCTCACCACCACCACCAACAGTCTGCCCATCCCCCTCACCACCACCACCACCAACAGTCTGCCCATCCCCCTCACCACCACCACCACCAACAGTCTGCCCATCCCCCTCCCCACCACCAACAGTCTGCCCATCCCCCTCACCACCACCAACAGTCTGCCCATCCCTCTCACCACACCAACAGTCTGCCCATCCCTCTCACCACCACCACCACCAACAGTCTGCCCATCCCCCTCACCACCACCACCACCAACAGTCTGCCCATCCCCCTCACCACCACCACCAACAGTCTGACCATCCCCCTCACCACCACCACCAACAGTCTGCCCATCCCCCTCACCACCACCAACAGTCTGCCCATCCCCCTCACCACCAGCAACAGTCTGCCCATCCCCCTCACTACCACCAACAGTCTGCCCATCCCCCTCACCACCACCAACAGTCTGCCCATCCCCCTCACCACCACCAACAGTCTGCCCATCCCCCTCACCACCACCAACAGTCTGCCCATCCCCCTCACCACCACCAACAGTCTGCCCATCCC